CTACGATTTTCACTGCTGTCTGGCTAGTTGCTCTTTTTCTAGCTCGGCACAGTTCGGCAACTGGGGGTGGCATTTTGCACTTTCACTGCTTCACTACTTTCGGTTTACAAGTCTCACTCTGGTGAAAATGTGAACTTTTGTGAAGTTGGAGCAAGCTCGTCTAGGCGGCCCCGGCAAAACCTGTCAACTCAAGAGAAGGCTATCTACACATAGATGGGGAGCAAGATACCCCCCCCCCCCCCAACCGTCGCCGAACTGCGCCTTCTAGCTCTTATTGCAGGACTCATTTGATATGTGGTTTTCACCTGTATAAGCAACGAAATCATTAGCGGAATGACGATCCACGGCTAAAATATGTCGAAAGTCTGGCCGTTGCGGTGGCAGTAAACAGTGGGCATTTGTCATTGTCTAAATTGGCTTGGCTTGACTGATCTTCCACAGAATAAGGTTAGTTTGACTTTTAACGTAACGAACGTTGTCCACTTCAACAGTACGATTATCGGCAATCATTCCACGTATGAAATTCGCTACCACTCCTTCACCTTCCACCTGAATGAATGAAAACTGATGTTTTCAAGTTGGTACATTAACAAACTAAGTAAAAACGCTTACCTCAACAGCAGCGCTGGATGCACCTATTTCTGCTCGATTTTATGTGTGCGAAGCCGATACGAACGCTGGAAAATTGTGTACTGTTTCTGATGCAAAGTTATTTTCCCTGAAACGATAGGGCGTGGGCATGCCAAGGCGTTGCCCACCCATTCCCTCAATTCGATGCCTTTCGAGTCTGCCAAGCAATTTGCACGGAAAGGGCTTGGTTATTGTGGATTCTAGAGACTTACAATAATCTCCTAATACAACAATCTCCTAATACTGCCCTATAAGGCAGCGTCCATACTTCACGGTGACGCGCGTCGTTGCCCTACAATTGCAGCCGTGCTCCAGTGCTGCAGTAGGTCTCATTCACTACTTGAAGCTTCTGGTAACCACGAAAGGCACAGCAAGTGTGCACATTGCAATCTTTTCTAGAACAAGAGTCGGGAAACAAGCTCTCCTTCCAGGTGATCTTCTCTTTCGTTGTCAGGCGAGTTATCATCAACTACTTCATGCCGTTTATGTTTCCACTCAGGGATCGTGTACGGATCATTCATCTCTACAACAAGGTTATATTGGTATCTATCAATTTTTTTTGTTTCCTAATCTGCCACCTTCTCGATGGTTTATTTTCGGAAGATGTAAGGTGCAAGATGCTACTTAAGGTTCTTTTTCTGAGAATGAAACATCGTGTTGAAGCGAGAGCTCGTATTCGATTCATCGTTGAGAGATGGAGGATAAACGAAGAACACGACGAAGGGTGAGAATATACTATTGATTAAGCTTTTTGATGAGCACAGCTGTTGAAGTGAAAAGGATGAGAACTCCGCCGTTGACCGATCCCCTACTTGGGTTTGCGGCAGGCATCCTACTTTTATTCAGAATCGTACTATATATGTGACATGTTCCACAAGAGTATGAAGTGAACGAGCATGATTGGTATGTGCAGTACTTGTTAGATGGTCCCTGTCTGGGACACCGAATTCGGCCCCCTATTTCCATAAGTGGAGGAGGAGGTGGTGGTAATAGTGCGATATGGCTTATACTATTACTTGCGGGGCCAGCCGAGCCTATGTATGTACGAGTCAGTGTTCTCATTCTCCCAGACGAATCCAGGACCAATTTGCCTTCCCTTGACATCAGAAGGCTTGGTGGGGCATGCATGGGAGCTAATCCGGAATATGACCCCTCAGACCGCTCCCGCTGGTAAGCGTGGTACTTGCCAACACCATCACCTCCTTCTCCACTTATGGAAGTAGGGGGCCGAATTCGGTGTCCCAGACAGGGACCATCTAACAAGTACTGCACATACCAATCATGCTCGTTCACTCCATGCTCTTGTGGAACATGTCACATATATGAAAGGGAGAGTGGCTCAACTTTGGAAAAAGAGATCAGAGTTAGAGGGATGCATTGGAAAGGAATAGAACCGCACCTCGCGGCCGGATAGTCATTCTTTTTTGGAACACTAGGTGTTTCTTATGGTTAGACGTACGCTCCAAGATTGAAATCCGTGGGATGGGGCTCAAAAGCATTCAACAATGAAGAGCAAATCAGAAAAATATTATTGGAACCGCTTTGAATAACACTCCTGCTGCTTTTAAGCACTGTATGTGCATATGGCAAAGAGGCACTGGACATGGGTGAGAAGCAGACAATGGTATGCCAAGAGGGTAATTCACTGGTTCAGACCCACCGCTATGTAGCAATGGAAAAACGAGTTGATAAGGGCGGAGAACCATCTCGGGGCGGAGTGGGACCATGGCACGTCGTCGCCTTTTTATCTTAAACTTTCGAGTCGCGAAAAGTACAGTCCTATACAGTCTGCTGCTTCCTTAAACAAGGTGGGGCGGTTGCGAACTGCCCCATCTTG